ACTGGATTTGACCGACATTTGATAATGTGAAAGTAGCGTGCCAATAAGGTGAGGCACATCCGACCATTCTTTAAAGTGCATGCATATGAAAAATTGTACATATTTGATAAGTTATTGTAACCAGCCACAGCAAAAGCTGCACAGAATATTCCGTGTTTTACTTAAATCACACTCTGCTTCATCATCTAAACCGATAAAAAGTGAGAAGGGAAGCCATACCTGGACATAATTCTCCAACCAGATCATAGCACGCATATCCAACATGTTCGTCGGTTCATCCAAAAGTAGAAGGTCGGGTTTCGCAAACAAAGCTCTTGCCAGAGCCAGTCGCATTCGCCACCCTCCCGAAAATTTCTTCGTGGGACAGTTCTAAAATAATACATTAAAACAAATATATTTAGTCAAGTTTGCAATTTCACGATATCTTTGAGGAAGTGCTAGCAGTGTAAAAGAAACCATTCCGAAGAAAGCAGATTCTAAGGCACAGCATCACTGAAGGAAGACGTCTGCCGAAAAAATCATGCCTGGAAAACTTCCAACAGAAGGGCTAGCGAAATCGCGTCGACTTTCGACTACCACCACATTCCCAATTTCAGCATAACGCTCAATAATAAGAGTGACAACATTTAGAAGAACTAAAAGCATCTCCCGAAAAAATTGCTGTTCTGCACCGAACATAGTGATTGATCCCATTATCAGAGGACATCACGTATCCTTTCCTCACATTGCTTTTAGACCAACGCCCTTGCTAAACACGAATGGCATACAGAATCTGTTTACCGTAAAACGATGTCCACAAACTCCAAAAAAATTCACAGTATGTACTACTACTACTACTGGGGTAAAAGTACACTTCCTAGGATACGAATTCATCATACCGTCTCCATTCCGAGGCAGAAGAATGGTCACGCTAATAAGATGGGAGCTGTGTAGTAACTCGATACCCTTGTAATCGCGCAAGCTCTCAAGTCACCGTCTTACCGCTATCATGTCCCGTTCATTCCTATCGCTCCACAACCTTCCTGAGCCTCATATGTATGATAACAATATTAAAAGAAACTCGGGAGTCACTAACGCATTCGGTTAGCTGGATCGCTTACTTGTTTTTGGGATTCAATTCCAAGACCATGAAGGATGGAAGCAGCACGCGCGGGTGCACTATCAGCGTCAATAGCGATGAGTTGATCGAAAATTTGGGCGATACGGGAGAACGTTTCGTCAGTCTCCTTTCCTGCCCGCAACTTAGCCAACTCAGCCAAAAGATTTGCACGCTGCGTATCTGCCTGGAGGACGCTCTCGATAGCTGGGGTGTTGTCACCTGCCACCTCCTGCTCGACATGGAGAACAGTTAGACCTGGAGGCAATCGAAGATCACCACTAAAAATGAGGCATTGGGAAAAATGAAGAGAATGAATTTTGAAACGATAAGACGAAGAGAGCTAAGAAGCAGGACGCAGTTTAACAACGCGGATCAATTCAGCCCCCATGTTAATGCAAGGTCCCTCCTCAAATCTTGCTTCTAGATCAACATCCTATGCATATAGAAGGTAGTCCCTAGTGGACACCATACAATGTAATGTAGTTACCCAAACAGGGGATATGGTATCTAATGTTCCCATCAAATATGGAGCCTTATCACACCATTTTTGGCCCCTATCTCGCAATACATTGAACTTCACTGTAAAACACTTGCAACAACTGAAACATAATAATCATCGGGAGTACAAAGGAGGAAACTCGAAATGACGAAAATAAAGTAGTGAATCGATATTTTGAAATCTTGATCTGCGTAGTTGTTCACGGTTTGGCCTCCAAGCCAAAAAACTACCCAGAGATCTGCTACGAGTTAACAATCAACATAATATCAGACTTGCAGACCCCATAATGACTTCGAGGGCAACCCAAGTCCTCCACTGGTGGCAGCAATGGCAAACCCAGCCTAAATGAACCAGATACAGTGCCGAAACGTCATGGAGGGAAGGCATCCGGAATGGATGGCTTAGTCTATGGAGGCTCATGGGAGAAAGACTGTGCAAAGAGAACCCGCTTTTGGCATCATTTCAATCTTGCGTGCCACGTAACGATCCGTAGTGATGTAAAGCTAGGTTTGAGGTAATAAAATTTGTCCATAAACGAACCCTCGACGATGAGTATACGAGGCAGTGAATATCAATCATGCTTAGAAGGACTAGCATTCCCCAGGTTGCACGAAATGGAGGATAACACATACAAGCAGCTAGGTAGGAATAGAGAAAAAAACAGCTTTAGGATGCTGCGTTGCATTTTTACCTAAATACTCTTGATAAAAATTATTCTCCGAATATGCAAGCTATACAGCCCCATTCAGCACTGGTACTACTTCCTGTATGGAGACCTGTGGATACATTTCTATTATCAAAGGACATGACATCCCGAAATCCTACCCAAGTTCTTGACGTGAACTACTGTGAAAATAGGAACCTCCCCTTTGTATGACGCAAATTATGGCTCTATGACACAAATTCCCAGCCCTATCTCCTCGCTTCAGTGGTAATTTCTTGCAACCATAATAGGAGAACTACCGTAAGGGATGCTGAAGACTGCAACAAAGTTACATCCATTTGACCACAGGTTTTGCAAATCTCTCGCGACTAAGACCTCTCGACTGTGAAATTGAACTGCTATTAGTTTCTAGGTTCTTAGTTACATTGACATCAAGACTACTTCCGGATTAATATACCTTAAAACCCTTTCAGATACAATTTGGATGCCAAAACTCACTTTGCCAAAGCCCGAAGAAGCGTAGTTTTGCCACATCCATTGCGTCCAATGAGACCGTAGCGATGGCCGAAAGAGAGATGTAAATTGGCATTTTGCAGAAGGACCCGACTTCCGAATGATATATCAAAATTTTCGACGTGGAGATCGGTAAACTTAGCTATTCCAGCAGTATACAACTTTTCCCTTCGATCTGACCGTTGACTAACACAGGCTGATTCTACCTCGTGAAGGCTGGTTCTAAGTAGTAAAATCGTATGTAAAGAACATAGTTCTACTTGCTTTGAAGAGGAAGCGTCGTTGTTTTGCAGTTTTTTGGTCTGTTTCTCGCGAGAACGTGCCTCGGCTTTGGCAAGTTTTACCGGATCGACGGTCTGTTTTGGGAGGACTGATGAAACCTGAACGAACCTACGCTGGAAATTTCACGTTTAGCCATCCAGATGCTTGCGGTATCTATAACACGTTCGTTGAAGTTGTTCACCAGCGCAGCCATGTGAACTGGTTCGTCTAATCGCTCCTGAGTAATGATATGCCCACTCCTATGAAGTAAGACACTATGACATAGTTTGGAGATGACTTGCGGGTGAATAATACTGTAAACTTCTACGCAACACTGGCGAACATCCTTGTTACCCCCTAAATTTTCAAGAAATCCTCCAATGGCTTCGTAAACTTCATCAGTTGACTCGAAGTGTTCTCCATTTTCGACTATAATACCTGAATAGCATAAAATGAAGGTTAGGTAGATGAACCCTCAAGGTAGGAATCTGTATCTGGGTCAAGGTCCGGATAGCGTTTCCGTATTTCATTGAGAGCATCTACAAGCCTTGCCTGCATGATAGGACGACGACTAACCAATCAAAATCGGGACTGCTTATTTATTTTTTACTAGTAGAGTTAGAGCAGCATAAACAAAGGTTCCTACGTACTGTTAGAATGGGTCAGGAAAGAGCGCTTCAATGGTGGAACTCTAGTTAATTTCCCCAATCATGAGTGCATATTTATGTCCTTTTTTATCATGCACTATGCATGAACCATATTGCCCACTACCATACCCCAAAAGGACTTTGACATAAGCCTTTTCATTTTAAAAAGCGCAACTAAACATCGGCTTGTAATCAGCAACGACTCGTTGGAACTTAATCTCACCCCACCAGCAGTTAATGGTTCTATCTCAGATTCAGGTGTTCGCCAAAGAAAGGCGCCCTTTTATCACCTTTGATGGAAAACTTTTCGGAAGAACTGCGACATTGTAAGCACTGCCAGGAAGCTACGGCACCAATTTGAAAGTATAGTACATGAGACCTGGTAAGTTTGTGCGGTTAATCCTGCGCCAAAGTAATTATGAAAACGGTACTGGGAAATAAGGCACGGAAATTATTTACTTGTTGCCCATTACGTACCAGTGTGCTCCGAATGTGATTAGAAAGTCAGGTGCTTTTGAGCTCACTCGCAGAATCAGCTATATTTGTTAGATTACCCAGAAGCAAACTAGTTCCTAAGGATGGACTTTGGTGTTGCACAGACCTGATTAGCAGGTAATAAAAGGACAAGCGACCTCCGTGTTACGTAAGATAATTATGATGCCGAGTCTGTTTCAGAAGAGCTGACATTACTTACTGATACCAAAGTTACTGAAGTACGATTGTAGCCTCCCGTCAGGTTGTACGTTTAGTTATAGGTGCCCATGATATACGTTGTTAGTAAATGCAGTCGAGAACTCGGTTACAGCTCTTGAACTTAATATGCAGCCCTTAATTTATTGCAGTTAAATGATTTTAGTGCTCCCTGAATCTTAAATCACATTCAAAAGTCTTATTTTAAATTTTTGATGTACTAGACTACACACTTAGGTATAAAATGACGCTAGCAAATGCTTTACGGTATAGTGTAATTTTAGGCATCAATTATTCACATAAGAGGCCTCACTTTGAACTGGATAGAACTTTAAATGGGACTTTGCATGTGCTTTAATCCATTACACAGACTTGATATATTTGCAAAAATGTGCAAAATGTGCATTCAATGTGCTTGACAGCACATGCCGTATGTAAATTCTCGTAATAGTTATTCGTTATTAGGTTTGGCTTGTCTTAGAACTCACTTATTACTGGTCGGTAAAGATTTTTAGTTCATTGGTCGACATTTGTTTTGTGTGCCTTGGGTACATTGAGGAGTCGTCTGTGATTAAGTTATGGTATTTTGGTTCTTTTATTTTATCGTGCTTTTAAGGGTCAAAAGCAGTCAAGTCACGATGATGGGAAGAAAAGTGGAAAGGTACTATATTTCTTTTCCCTCTCAATAAACTAAAATTTAGGCGAAAAAGAGGGAATTTGAGCCTCCAATTCCGACCAGAATGGGGAAGCACAAGCGATCTAAGGGGCCTGACACGGCTAACAAGCTCCCACAGGTTACGCCTCACACCAGATGCAAACTCCGTTTGTTAAAATTTGAACGGATTAAGGACTATTTATTGATGGAAGAGGAGTTCATCAAAAACCAAGAACGTCTCAAAACAGATGAGGAGAAAAATGAGGAGGAGAGGTCAAAGGTCGACGATCTTCGAGGCACTCCGATGTCTGTGGGCACTCTTGAGGAGATAATTGACGATAATCACGTCATCGTGTCAACTTCAGTTGGCAGCGAACATTATGTTAGCATCCTTTCTTTCGTTGACAAAGGGATACTCGAACCTGGTTGCTCGGTTCTTCTAAACCACAAAGTAATTGGTTTAAGTTATTTTTAATTTTGCGCAAAATTTAGGTTCATGCCGTTGTTGGCGTTCTCACAGACGATACAGATCCCATGGTGACAGTGATGAAACTTGAGAAAGCTCCTCAGGAAACTTACGCTGACATTGGTGGGCTGGACGCACAAATTCAGGAGATTAAAGAGTCCGTTGAACTTCCCTTAACCCATTCTGAGCTCTATGAAGAAATGGGCATCAAACCTCCCAAAGGTGTCATCCTCTACGGTCCTCCTGGAACAGGTGCTTCTTTGTTTACAATTTTTTTTGGACTTTTGATGGTACTTAATGCCTTTTTTGTTGGACTAAAGGTAAAACCCTTCTGGCTAAAGCTGTTGCCAACCAAACGTCTGCTACCTTTCTTCGCGTTGTTGGTTCGGAATTAATTCAAAAATATCTCGGTGACGGTCCGAAACTCGTTCGAGAGCTCTTTCGTCTGGCGGAAGAAAATGCACCAAGTATCGTCTTCATAGATGAGATCGATGCAGTAGGAACAAAACGGTACGACTCGAACTCAGGGGGTGAACGAGAAATCCAACGTACTATGTTGGAACTACTCAATCAGTTGGATGGTTTTGATTCGCGTGGCGATGTCAAGGTCATAATGGCGACGAATAGGATTGAAACCCTCGATCCTGCGCTTATTAGACCAGGCAGAATTGATCGCAAGATTGAGTTCCCCCTACCGGACGAGAAAACAAAGAGACGTATCTTTACCATTCACACGAGTAGAATGACTCTTGCTGAAGATGTTAATTTGGAGAACTATGTCACCTCTAAAGATGAACTTTCCGGCGCCGATATTAAAGTATGTTTGACGATTGTTTGCTGAGTTTGGTTTTCATGCGATCGATTGGTTTGCTTTTGCCTTCTAGGCCATGTGTACGGAGGCAGGATTGTTGGCACTGCGTGAGCGTCGAATGAAAGTGACAAACGCGGATTTCGAGAAGGCTAAGGAGAATGTTCTTTATCGGAAGAGTGAGGGAACACCAGAAGGTCTTTATTTGTAATCCATAATATTTTTTGAACACCACTTCTTAGGTGTACTCACACTAAGCTTGTCTGCTTTTCCTGTTTTTGAGCCTCTGCCGGTGAAATAGCTCTCACGCTTGAGTAGTGAAGCTTCGGATTGTTCTGTTACTAAATTTGATTAAGTACGTATATTGAGTTTAACTGTGAAAAAAAGGATGTGTTGAAATAGGTGTAATCTAATCACAAGGGCCAAAAATATTTCGGGCGTTGTGCGGCTGACTAGCACTGCCGTGCACGCTACTTGATGTTATATCTGTGGGTCATAGGTGGGTGATTTCGACGAAGCCAATTGGGAATGTGGTGCGATTTAGCCGGGCTGAAACCATTGTTGGGGTTGGGGGTAAGGGCGCCAAGGCCGTAGGCAATTCTTCGCTGGGAAAGTGTACATTTATGGTTCGGCAAAGTGATCCGCGTTCATCTATGGGTTAAGTGGTCGCATAGATTTGGAGAGTGCGGACCGTGATTAGTAGCTGAGTGTACTCTAGGGGGAATGGGTCGTAATGCTGGGATTTTCTCGCGGATAATATGAGAACAATTGTGATGCAATGATCCGTGGTTCAATTGCCTACGAGTTCTCTTCGAAAGGTGACTAAAGTAACTGTATAACCATTCTTCATAATTAGGGGTTTGATCGTGCACCCTATCAAAAATTTGATTTGTCCTTTCTTATAGCTGCATCTCTGACTGCTCGAGGATTTCCCCCTCTAATGAAAATAATGTTATCGTATTATCGACACTCAATCGACAAATAGCAGTGGGTCTGATTTCATTACCCAACTAGTAAAACTTCACGAATTCGTCTGAAAATTATTGCAGTACCAACAATCAAAATCGTGCACCTTGCGTAAAATCCACCTGTAAAAACAAAGCAAATAATTCTTTGAAGAGAAATGATTAGCCGGTCAAAAGAGACTATGCCCAAAGTAGCTAATTAAAGTAGCTTGATGATCTTCAAGGAGCAGAGACCCCGGAATGCTTCACAATACACAAAATTTATCATTCAGCTTTTATTGCTATTGTTGAGCTTCCAATCATCGCCTTATTTCCGAATGACTGATACCCATGCTTTAGCTTAAGTGCTGAATTTGCAGTTTTGAAGCAAACTTTTCCCTATTATTCAGGTAGAAATAAGGCACATGGTTAACTAAAATAACCCATTAGTAGAACAGTGTGCTGAAGTCACTTGTACAAACTGTTGCATAGACCAATCTGAAAGCACCAATGCAGTCTGGTGCAGGCTCATTCACGAGAGCCAATCAAAGAGCTGTGTGATCACATTGCGAGAGGCTATTGCATTCTTGTGTGCTGCCATGTGATGGAGTACCCCACGAAATCCATTAAGACTGCATTTCAATGACCTTGGAATTAGTCTTCAGTTATCCTGCGGAGTAAGTTCCCTCGTATCCTATTCGAAATGCATTCTACATCACTTTTGTCTCGCACTCTGAGATAGGGTATTTTCTGCACTGAACTAGGGTCAGCTGTGACTGTTTCAGGGGGTACTTTCTCAAAACACCCAGTTTAAATCATGTTTTCATTAAATTTGGATGTGGCTTTTACCGTGCTCTAATTCAAGTTATAAATGCTATTATGGGAACATCACGTATAAAGTGTCCAAAGTTTGGCTTCAACGGTCTCGCATCTGTAATCACAACCGCATGAACGTAATAACTATTGCTATCTCGCAGCCTAACTTTTTAAAGCGGCTCTAAAACTCTTAGCTTCTTTTGTGAAGAATGAGCACCATTTGAATGAAGCGTCTTTTGGCTACCAGGTTAATCAATCTGTTCAGTTTGGTGTTCTCTCCTTATCTTCGTATCTGACTAGCTGGATGGTCCGCGTTCTCTAGTCATTCTAACCAATCATATCGAAGCGGTAAATGTTTAGTGACAATGCACATGCATCGATCATTTTCATCGCACTATGGCAGTATGTTCCTATTTACCATCCCCAATGTTGATCATCCTATTTCCGAGCTAGAAACCCTTCCATTTTTCCAACCACCCGCACATTTACTGTTTTCCACTAATGCACCTCTTAGCTCATCCGCGCCCTCCACTACCGGGCGGGTCTCATCTCGTCTTGCTTTTTTCCAATATTTACATCGCCCACATATTCTCGTCAAGTGGATTTCCACTTTTAATAATTAGATATGCTTACACAACAAGGATTCGATTTCACGACGCAAATCGAACGTGTGACGTTTAGCGAGTCCATTTGACCCTTCAAAACATGGAGAAGTAGGCGTCCATTTCCAAATCCAATTCTACAAGTCAATTTACTGTCAAATGACTACCGATTAATTAAATTGATGACTTGAAAACTGCTTGCCTCGATCATTTAAAATTTCTCCCATTTCAAGATTTTGTAATCGTATCCCAGCGATGGGGCATTATCGTTCACCCAGTTGATAAGTAGATTTTTGCCCCATTCACTTAACAGAAGCATATTTACTAGCAAAACAAAGGTTTTAGTCAAACAAACCAACAACCTCTTAAATAGTAACAACTAGTTTAATTACATTTTTGCACCGAAAAGCGAAGTTTTATTACACTTTCTCCCCATTTTCAATAAGTCATTTGTCATTAATACTTCGCTACCTAACGCCAACCATTTTGCATGAGTTAACTTATCAGCTTTTTTTCAATCCAAAGCTCTATTCACAGTTCACTAAATAAGGTGCTAATTTATAACGTTTGTGAACACCTTTATTACATCTACTTACCCTATTTGAGTGTTGTTACGGTAGAAAAAATGTCTACTTTCGCACCTCAATACGGCGTAGTGCTAGCATCCGGTAGGCTTTTTCTCGATGCTTTGTCTTAAATTTATAGACACATAAAAATTCCGATTAATTTTCGCCCCGTCACACCCCCTAAACTGAGCTCTGATTATCTTAAACACGGTGCATTTTCGGTCGTTTTTTTCAGAATTCGATACTTGCATCCCCGCCAATCAGTAAACAAAAGTGCTAACCAGTCAACGATCTAACCACTGAACGATCTGAACGACCATTTTTGGATTACTCAAGGCTGTGCTATGGTAATGATTCGGTGGTTTACCAACTAGAAAAGAATATTTGCATTTCTCGACGCTTAGAACCACCCTAAGCCTTACTATAACGCCTTGCGCCCCCTATTTGAATCTTTTTTGGGAATTAGCTACTTTTATGGGTCTGAGCACGCCTTATAGACAATATTGTTTGTAGGCTAATGCATTTATGATCAATTCTTAACTAAAAGATGCCTTTACTATCATAGGGGGGTGTAATCATGCAACAAAACATTCTGCACTTGGTCACGTGCCCTAACCGTTGAAGCAGTCCCATTAATTCTGCCTTTAAAAACAGTAAATTTTGGGAGAATTCGCAGCTTTATAAAACAAAGATAGGTCATTTCGTGTATATAGAATTATCACCTAATGACTAGTAGGATTTACTTAAGCAGGGTACAATACCTCCATAAAAATTTCACCAATATTCTTGTAAAATTTTCATAATTTTGTGTTGGCAGTGTGTTGCGGCTAAATTTGTTGCATTTAAATGAGGGATTTTGCGTTATACTTTTTTACCAAGAATCATAATGGCAATTAATAAGTCCGCGAAGGCACTTTGATTTTACTGGAATGACTACCGTCTCAAGTTGTGCTGCAAATTCAATAATGGCGCGCCGACCTTTACAATGACTATAAATAACCTACAGTAGATAACACGCTCTTGTTCTCAGCCAGTTTTCACTTCTCAGAAATAAATTCACCTCCTAAAATAAAACCTCTTATATCCCCTCCCCACCCGCCCAGACTTTAATGAAATCATACACCTCACTTTTGACGCTCTTGAAACTAGCTCTCCTGGGACACGGATTAACAATCTAAATGGGTGCATAAAATACGGTTTAAGAAAAACATGACTACTTATTCTCTATAGTTTTAAAATCACGGGTAGTATCATCGCGTCGTGGCAAGATCGAGCCCCTCTTACGAGTCAGCCTCCACCTAAGGCTAGTGGAAAAGTACCTCCAATCACCCAAACGCTATAGCGTCACCTTTAGATAATGCATTAGCGCTCTCACGTAGAGGAGTTGGTCGGTGGAGGCAGCTCCACCACCATCATATGACATGTTTTGTGCATGCCGTATCCGTAATCAATTTCTTCCTTTTCCCCTGTTATTAGCTGCCGTTTTGAGGACTCAGCAGTGAAAAGGAGGGAAAAACTTGGGATTTTCTCATTCCTGTGATTCATAAATTGACCACCTCTTCACTGGTTCTTTTGTTTTACCTATTTTTTGACTGTTCAAACGCATTTAAGTCATGTTAAATGGACTCTTAGCCAATTAATATGGTCTAAACACTTGTCGATCGAATGGATGGGATACGGTTGCTTAAATGAGGCACGAAAAGTATCTAACAATTGCTTAGATAAATTCGTTCATTAATTTTAATTAGATTTAGTCCTTCGCTGCAAGAGGCAACACTGCTCGCACCCCAATTGTCAGCTTGAAGTTTAACGCTTGAGTATGCGTGCATTAGCCTTCAAAATTGTTCAAGCTTTTTGAGAAGACCTCGAGGAAACCGCTACTCATATGCCTGATACGAGAGAGATGTGTTGTTGGGATCACCTTCTCTGATTTAGCGAAACTAGTTCGCCACGGTATTCCGCACCACCCATTCCAGATTTGATGGTCAAAATTTTGGGCTATCGCTGCAAAGATGGTTTTGGAATGATTATACCTTATCCATTATTGGTAGGAGCCAACCATCATATCATTCTCAATATCCAGCTTTTTTAACACGTAGCACAAAAGATAAGTCCGAAAAATCGAGTAATTTTCCACCAACACAAGCAGATTTCCCAAAGGGTCATCTGAGAAGGCGAATAAGCATAATGATTAACTGCATTTATCTCAGGGTCAGAAAATGGTACCAATCTTAGGGGTTCCATCAACTTCCTTTAGACCTTAGCTTAGAAGTGAGGAACACAATCCATATCCTCCCTCCATGGCAAATATCAGAAGTTTATCATCAGGGCGGTAGAGATTGTCATCACTTAAGATAGTTCATAACAAATAATCAAAGTTAGGTAATAAATAGCTACATTTTCGTGAAAAATGGATAGTATTATTTGCTACATATATCTAAAAGTAATAAATCCATCAGAAATTTAAAATATCGTTAATTTTTGGCTTAGGGACCTTATAATATGCCTCAAAAACAGGGTACGAATATTCACTCATTTAATCAACTTTAAGAAAATAAACATGAAAATAGTACTCAATTGCATATGAATAGGAAGAGGTTTTGGAGTAGCATCTTTTTCAGATATTTTTAGTTTAATTTTTATCACTCTTGCAGCCTCTGCAAGTATCCCAGAGTAACACAGCATAAGCCAGCCAAGAAATTCACTTTTGTATAAAATGTATAACCCTAACCTACCTACCGACGTTTTAATCGCCATTTTGTCGCCCAGCCGTCTAGTCTAATTCGACAGCAAGCATTTGACTGTTCAGTGCCAAGAAAAGATGATAAACATCACGCTGAGAAATACAATCAGAAAATACGGAGAATGAGAATGAGGGTGAACATGAGGATGAGATAGTACTTACCTCCGCCTTTCCCTCCCTTCCTCACTCTCTACAGCACTCTATCACTTCTACCCCATCATAAGGTACAAATCTCACGTCTGTGCCACGAAGTCCGGGGTCTCGCCTTATCTAATTTTACCTCATTATAACGATATAATTGACTTTTTGGCTAAAATGTTTTTTGATTTCACGTGGGATTCTCTGGTATTATTTTAATGGAATTAATTAAATGGAGATTTGTGCATTTATTTTTTTTCCTTACACGATCATTAAAATTTAGGCACCTTTTAATTTTTCTGATATTAATTCACTTAAGTACTTGACTCCAATGGAAGCCTTGAAAACACCTTTGTTTGACTTTACTGAAACTCTTACCGAAGCCTGATGATGGTCTTGAGCTGAATGTCCCCGGCCATCTTTTGCTCTAGGCGTCAGAAATTCGACAAAACGAATCGCCTAGAAAAGTGTTTGATGGATATTTCAACGCTTGGAATAGATCTCTTTCATAGCCATACATTCAGCAGGAACCCAGCATGCTAGGGGGCAAAAAGGAATCGAGTTAAAAGATAGCGTATTATTCGGGGGGGGATTCCATTTCGATGGATACTGTGGGTTCTGTCGTGCAATGGTGTAAGAGCCAGACGAGAAGAAAAGTGAAATGTTGTTACTGATTTAGAAAATCAAAAATAAAATATGATACATGAAGAATGGTGAGTCTACATGCCAGATGTAAGTTGTCAATTTCTCAGTGATTCATAATCAAAATCTCTTTTCAAGTGAACTGAAAGGTTTGTGAACCCAATTTGGTATAACTTGAAGTAGTTGAATAATTAGGCGAGTTGAAGGATGGATGGATATGAGCTGAATGTGTCCACCTCCCGATCATCCAAATTTGCCATTATCATGTTACCATTTAAGAGCTCTGTCATGGAATTTAAAATCATCCACTTTGAACAAACTTCCAGTGCTGTGCATCAATTAGTTGTCTAAGGACATCACTGCTCGATCTTATTCGAGCGGTTTCTTTACGCTGCATTGCATTAATTCGTTCCGCAGCTGACCTTCTCTTTGAAAGTGTTAAAAATTATGGGTATTAATCAAAGCATGGCTTAGAGTGCATCTTCACGATAAGTGACCATGCTTGTGGCATTCTCAAGCTCGGAAATGACAAAATTTAGTTAACTTCCTGCTACGTTTTCCGAACAAGTCTGTGTGACTCCTATTGCACAACTTTGAACCCTGACACAACATTTTAGGGCGTTGTAAATTTAATTCAATAATGCATAATTACCGATGAACTCAGCTAAAAGGTTTTAGGTCATTAACTTATTTTCGAATTCAAAGAATAGATTTGTGAGTTGTAACAACAACCAATCCATTATATATCAATACTTCACACTTCCAAGCCACACGCCATGTCATCTTTAGTCAGCTACACTTGAGTTGTGTATTTGTGGTGGACTGTCCACCTTGGTACACCTGGAAGCGTTCGCCTGTTGACGGCCTAAAGACATCTGCAGCTGGCATCAATCTACTCTATGCTGCTTAATGGAAGAGGAAGGTGTCTAGGATTACATGGTCTGGAGGTGCAGTCAGGACTAAAAAATTGGTAGGAAGAGAGTCGAACTCCGATTATTACTACTGTGTGACCCAGACTTGAGAAGATTTACACCTTAGGGTGGCAAAGTGGAAGTGATGGAGTGTTGGAGGAAGAGAGAGAGGATTGAAGGAGGGAAGAAAAGGGGAGAGGTGAGTACTGCCTCATCCTCATGCTCACCCTCATTCTTATTATCCGTATTCCTTGAAGATTTTTTGTTTCAGAGCGGTGATCATCATCGCTTATTGGCACTGGGCATTCACATGTTCAAAGTGACAACAGCTTACGATTCTCTTCACATTTCAGCATCGATTACTGTTACAAATACATGTATCATGTTGAAAGAAAACGTGACCGAAAACCGCTCGCGAATGCATCACCGTTCCTTCTCGGCCCAAACATGCGAATCTGTCTTCCAACCCTTGGAGTTATCGTCGAATCCGGCCTCTTCAAACGTCACACTAGTCAATAATCCACCAATCTATCAACATCATTATCAAGACTCTCGAATCAATAACCCTTACCAAACTCTCAACGGTACTATTCGAATAGTTGAGCGTCGAAATCGACTTAAACAGGAAGGACACCAACCTCGATGCTCCAGTGTACCCGTCTGCACATCCAGAGTGCAGAAAAGTGAAGACAGCGGGATGGGAGATTACTTAACGACTGGTATGAACGATTCACCTACAAGCGTTTTACGAGGAGTAGCCCCCTGGATGGCTACCGAAGAGAAAGCAGTGGGAATAAAAAAGGACAGCCGAAACCGGATAAAACATTATGCCCATAGCATCCGCGATCACTTGTTACCCTTGTGGGGGCAAGTAGATTTCAATGGAAAACCACCTCCCCACCCTCTATCTACGCATATCCATCCGTTACCAGAACAGTGGTAAGTTGAGTCGACATGTCGGCATATTAAAATCTAGTAATATTGGTTGGCCACGCTCCTTTATGGAATCCTAAATTCTTTACTATTAAATAATCTGTAGAATACTGTTTTTTATTTTACAAGTCCTACCATTTTTTAAAATTTCGAAATGGTTTTTGGGTTGATAATAATTTGTCAGACATCCCTATGATGGTTCTCGTTAATTTATCCATTTGAAGGGGTTTTTCAAATTTATTTCTGTTTACAACAGTTTTTGAATGCCAAATTTGAACAATCAAAGATGACAGCGGTTCCATGCCATCATATTTGTTTCGTGGAATTTTTAAACGAGTAATAGGGAAGCTAAAATCAAGGACCTTGAATGAGGGCACAGCTCTACTCTGAGTATCGCCTTTGAGCCTCATCCATGTATTAGGATGATGGGAGAGATGGACATCACGGACAGAACGCGTGTTTCCTCCCCCCTCGCAGTCATCTGCCGCAGAGTCCAGTTGCTAGGCTGGGAAGCTTAAGTGCCTGATCTATGGGCGAATGGCTACCTTAAGCAGGCACGTGTCATCCCCCTTGTCCCTTATCTCATAGAGCTCCCACGTCAATGACTCATCCTGCACTCCTTTGTCTTCTACCGGGTTAGTCACTAATGTGTAAAAACTTGAGTGTTGCCACTTTGAATCACACATCTGCGGATGGCAATTTCGGAAGGTATAAAAGAAAGAATAAAATGCGCTCATTCTTCAGTGTAGTCCCCCTGCTGCCATATTTGTGCACTTATCGCAGGGTTCACCTAATATCTATTAAACACTTTCGATAAATGAATACCGGTCAGAGCGCAGAAAGCGGACTAACCTTTCGAAATTATCAGGATACGTGAATAATTCTGTACACAGGTTATCCCTCGTACAATTTCACGACAGATTATGGTCCATCTATCCATCCAGGATCCGACGTTCCAGTAGCTAAACACCCGTTGGAATGGCTTTTGTGCTTAGGGTTAGGAATCGCTGATCTCTAAATCATCACTGACGACCATACAGGCGTCCTTAAGACTTTTACTCCATTCGAAGAGTTTCATCAGCGCTGTTCCACACAAAGGGGCTATTGCGTATCTTTATTGATTAGGAATGTCCGGATCGGTAGCTCAATCTCTCAGCCCAATGGTTGATGTCTTAGAGACATTCAGGGGAATACGCGAATGCTTTGCTGAAACCAAGGCTATCAGATTAGGTCCTCAACGGAGACAGTAATAATTTCATCTTTACCGCAATCTCTTCAGCTGTTTGTTTTCTAATTCAACAAATCATTGTTGGTCACTATAATATCTCCATTAGCTTTAAATGAACTAGGAGACAGCCCTTGTTTGAAATATCCTCAAATAAGTATGTTGTAGCCTTTGGGGAGTCACTCATCAATCGGAAAACTTAATAGCACTTTACTCACAGTTGGGATTGGCTAATTGGGACCTCCCCTCCTCTCCTCTTCAATCAACTTCAGAGAGGGGAATTCGAAAAAGGGAGTAGCGCTCCCTCTTGAAAAGGTGGCAATGCAGGCGGGTTGACTCTTCCTTCTCCACCTCCCTCTACTCCCATCACGTTAAGCGCACCGTGTGCACGTGCACATGGGTAGCCAATTACGGTCCTCGTGGTGAAATAGCAGGGTGCCTGTAGTATGTTAGATTCACGAGGGATGTTAGACATTAGGTATATAGATAGAACAATATTTTAGCGCCTTTACAAAAACAGCTAGAAATAGACCACTAAACGGTGCTTGTAAGCTAACGAACGATTCCACGGATTGTTGGTCGGCCTGCAAAATCTTGTACTGGCTGAGGCCAAGGTGAATAGAATAGAAAGTCATTATAGTCGCCAAAAACGAACATATCTATTTCATGCCACCTGCGAATTCGCGGCTTTGACGAAATAACTGCTTGAAACGCATGTAGCTTCCATCACAGAGCATATTAAATCGGTAGCGCCGACAGCAGCCTGTAGCAAATCTCACGGATAAAATCTTTGGCTAATGAAAGACCACATCACTGTGGTCAATGGTTTGAGCAAGATATGCCCTTCTGGCACTAGCTGGTATCCGGATGGCAGACGAAGTGGCTTAGCTGAAAACAGCCACAGTGGAAAGAAGCGACAGATAGACCCGTCTCAACCAATTTAGGAACTAAAGGTTGTTCGGAGTGAAATCAGTTTAAAACATCTCATCTTTGTCCCACCTTCTTTCTGAAGAGTCCCATTGTAGCACCAACCAGTGTAGTTGCTCAGACAACAGCTGAGACCGTTAGCTAACGACATGCTTGCCCTGCTAGTTACCGCACAGTGTGATTCAATAGAAGGTGCTTTTAATGGTGAAAAAGATGTTTAAACGTAGAACAGGATTCCCCTTTAGACTTCCTCATTTACAAGATCACAACTTTGTTTTAATTTAATTAAAAAATTGAGCACACAGGGGAGAGGTGTGTGAGTCATAAAGGGGGTTGTGATTTGCTCCATCGCCCGAAGTTCGTCCGCCCGCTTAATCGGCCAATTATTTCGGATTCCAATAGCAGAATGTGATTTGTTGATTGCCCTCGTCTTGAAAGGCAAATGTTTTGTGTTGATAAATCTGAAGGTAAAGATATCTTAAATTCTATCCTAATTCACCAGCCTTGATCGTAAAAGCCAGTTTTGCGTAACAGGTTTTGTAGTACCTCGTCCTAAGTCAAACCTGCAGTTTAAGCCCTTAATAACACTGTTTTTCGGAGTTAGAAAAACGAAGATTGCAATGTAACATTATTATCTCTTAATTCAAAGTTATATGAAAATTATCCTTTTAAAAGATTAGCTATTCAGACGACTTTTCATTGAACTGTCCAGCTACTTTGTAGTTAGATGTCGTGGACAATTGTTCCAAAATACCGGTTTTCAAGCTGAAACGATGAAACCGCTTTGTCTAGGCATTCTACAGAAGGCAATTCATTTCCAAACCTTTAAATTTTGGCAATGCGCTCCCTACCATAGTCTCCGATAAAAGTGCACCCCACTTGCTTTAACCCTAACATGGCACACATGCGTGACGCTGATAGTGAAGCTGTGAAAGGTTATCTTACCAGAAAAAAAATATATTAATTTCAAATAAATTCAGTACACAAGGTATCCGTCTTCAGAACCAAAGGAAATATTTTTATCGACTTCCATCCTCGCTTGCTTTTAATTCTGGTCAGCTGTCCCATGTGACTGTGTGATTCCAAGAAAAGGTTCTGGTCATTGTTTGAAGCAATGTTACTGGAGAGTAAAACAAATGGGGATGAGGCAGTGTCTACCTCCCTTGAAGAGATAGGCCCTGGCCGTAGTTTTCACATAGCTCGCTACAATTCCAATTTGCCGTCGATTCAACTTTGGAATGAAAAAGAACATCACAAAGCAATCGGTCAGTAAGTAAAGCAGTGATTAAACTATCTGGAACGTATTACGTGGTATTGTAGTGCACGTTAAAGCGGTGAAAAGCAACAAATTTATAGTCCTTAGAGCATTTAGTATGCCATTTGCTTCCTACACTTCCTCTTTCCATCGACTTAATGTGGGTGTTTAGAAGCAAACTGTTGCATCATCACTCTCCTTCATCATTTTTAGAAGATGCTTGTCATAGAGTCGTCTCCAATTGCTTTAAGGTGACAATAGCGATATATCATTCTTCATCGTTTTTAAGGAGTGGGCTCTGCCCTCCTTAGTTTCATGAGACCATCTTTGAGTGATTTATGGATGATTCATTAACAGAACTAGATGACAGCTTCAAACGATTGGATTGTTGATGTTATGTTGCCTGTCAATCATAAACTGAACCTCCTCCAAATGCCCTAGTAACTACTTGTAGAAGGAGCCAACTTCTCCAGCGTTGAAACTGGGTTCAACTCATTTTGTAGAGCAGTAGACAGCCTCAAATCCCATCCACCGGATATGACCGGCATTTGACAAGGGTACAATAAGGGTGATATACGCACGTTAGAACAGATCGTGCTTCGTCAACCGTGCTGTCTGGACAATGTTGAATTGATTCCTATCCAGTGACGTTTATAATGACGTCCAGAACTCTTCCAATTACTGCCTAGCAAACACACGCGTAATGTTTTTCAATTGCCAGTAAAACATTAACAGCCGAACTAACATGTGGATAGTATCAAGTTACTGTCCCTTCAATATGAGAAATTCTAAGAGAATTACGCAGGCAGTAAAGGTCTACCCTATGCCATAAAACCATCTAAAGGTGGAAATTTAGAGGTCAAAGGGGGAAGGTCAGCTTGTACACGTGGGGGAAAGCTTCCTACCGAAATACAGTGGCGATCGGAACAGCTGTTACAGAACGGGAACCTCCTTCACCCCTCCACCTCTGTTCCCCTCCTCCAGTCCCTTAGACCTACGCATCTGTCGTGTTTTTGCAATGGTGAAATAAAATTCAGGGTATTGCAGTTGAACGTGATCATTAATTTGCAATATCCTATTACAAATTGAAATTGGTTATGCTGGTCCTTTTCAGGAGGGTAAAATGTCATCAATTTAGTGACTAACTTGAGAGATATGAGTTGTCAGAGTCCACAGGAAGTGTTTCATTTTTTTTGACCAATAGCATAATGTAATTAACTAAACGACTAAAGATGCAGTTAATTAGCCCCACTTTCTTTCGCATTCAAATGGGACTTCACCATCTTCTTTGATGGAAGGTTGTGATTTTCCCATCTTCGTTTAAAAACATCGAAAAAATAAACGCGTCCATAATTGATACTGCTAACTTGTGCGTAATGAATGGATGGAAGGATGGATACCAAGTGGGTGGATAACTGGCCTGAAACTGTTCTGCATTATTCGCCATTCCATGAAATAGGAAAAGAAAAATTATTAATTTCTACAAATTTGACCCTTTTAACGCCGGTTAAAATGGTAAGAAGCGTATTTTGGACAAGGCCACTAAAGCTCTTAAACAATGGATCGTTGGGCCTTCAAAAAACGTAGTTTTCTCAATGTAGACTCACACGGAACCCCAGGTGAAAAGCCACTGAGCGTATCCCTCCCCTTTCGCTCCTCTCTCGCGCTCCTGTCTGTCGTTTATTTAGCGTTGGTTTAATCTTGTTCATCGCCATAGGGTGAGAAGACTGTACCCTCTCTAACTTAACAATTCCTGGAAAAATTTGATCAAATTAGACGGAAATAATGCGACTGGCTCTTGCAAAGGCGATTAGATAGTGGATGCGATCATCCGGATTGCAGTTTTCTGGCAGGGTGAGAATCTATTTCTCAGTATTTTTAAAAGTTGAGATGAAATGGTCTCATCCGCAGTATCTCTTACCTTTACCATAGCCCATGTCTCCCTCTTTCATGGTACGTAACTCTTTTCCAAGATGATTATCACCTGTTTGGATAGAATTTCCTTTGAAATATGGACGAGCGTACCGCACATTAATTTACACTCGAATACCCCTTTGTTGATGCACTTCGGGCTGCCCAAATTATCACATAGGTTTCTCAACGAAACTCAAAGTTGGCCTTTAAAATCCTTCACGATTTCACGAAAACTGATATGGGCCCTAAAATTTGCACCTTTTTGGATAGATGGGTGGATAGATAGATGGTTAGACGTACCTGCTTTACTTCACCAAACTCCATTCCATTATTTTCCATTCTGATTCCAGCTGTGAACTATCCCCCACGTGGCACATAGCCAGCATATTTTCAACATTAATCCCCCTACCATTAGGGATAGTTCTCTATCTACCCACTAAAGTGACCATATGGCTAACATAACCACATGGCAAATCCGAAGATTGCAATCTTGTCACGAGATTTTAAAACCCTTTTTCAAGTCTGTTTTCAAAAGGGGGAAGGTAAGGCAGTGGAAGCCGCCATCTGCCACCAAAACCACCCAATCACACATCTTATCCCTCACGGTGAATTTTTTAAGGATTTTTTCTACATTTGGTTCCTTCAAATGTCAACCGTTTTTGAGGATTCTTTCTACACTCCATATGCCCATATAAAATTCGCAGCAAATTTCAGAACCTATTTTAATGAAGTTTAAAGAATTAAGCATGCTTAAAGGACCTTTTGAAACCATTGGGTAAGCACAAAGTTCATAAGGTTTATGATATAGTACACTGCAATGACCTCGCGTAAGTTGCATACCATTGCAAAGCATAAATAGAGATGGATCAGGTGCATCAGTACAGTTCGCTACACTGTATTGCACCCTCTTCTGTTATTTCGAACTTCTCATATCATCGAATGCCGCCAAATGCAGTGGACGTCATTTGAGCTTGTCTACTGTTCTAGGATACGACTTAAACTCGCTTCCAATACTGCAGTAGCTAGCTCCTCCTACAAGACGTTATAGGGCATTTGGAAGGGGAGCGATTTACGGTTGCTGGACACTGCAGCATCCACGATCCAATGGTTTGGAGTTGACATCTGCTTTTCTTGATAAAATACTCGAGGGTCACTGGGAGATGGATGCATGACGCCGAAGAGGGCAGGCCCCTCTCCTTCGGAACGATGAAGAATGACACGCTGCTATTGTAAGCTTATGAACGTTGGAGACGACTCCATGAAGGACAAATTCTAGGAATGTGGAAAGAGAGCGATTTTCTAAGGACTATGGATATATTGATGTACGTTTATTTCACTTGCGTCACAGTAAAGAAAGGTGACGCACACTTGATTTTTTGCACATCTGCCTGCCTAACTTGCATTGAGGAATGGCTTAATGCTGTTGCATTCCAAGTTGAAGCAAACAATTATACACCGTCTTTTTTCCAAAGGCTCTCATACTACTTGTATGAGGAACAAAACTTAACGCTTTTTTAAAGTCTAGACGTGATATATGAGTGGTGTTTATGGCAGGGTTTTTCTCGTTGGGTTTGGATTATGGGTTATAGTAATGTGTTCTCAAAAAAAGTCTTCATTACGAAAGAGGAACTTAAGCACAAAAATTAGCGTGCTAAGCAGATTGCAAACGGAAATTTATAGATGAAGCACTTCCTTGAAGTACTTTACTTGACCACTAGCATCAAATAACAAAAAACGGTACTTTTCCTCAATTTGCACATTCATGGAAGTTATACATGGCAAATCAACAGGCCTTATCGTGCAAAACAGAACTTCTTTTTATAACAACTTGTCCCATTTACAAATTTGATTACACCACAAACAATGTGGACCCCGCAGAGTTCAAAATATGCTTGCGCAACATCGGTTAACCACTTAAGTACCAATAATCAATCTTAATAATAAGGTAACCGCAAAAGTTCGCATAGCCTTTTCAAAAAATCAGATGCTTAAACAATGCTTCTTAAAGTGTTTAGTAGTTGCCAGTACTGATTTTAAACCTTTCCCAATAAGGCACCAGCTAGCCAACATCACGAATGCCATTCGTCATCACAAGTCAGTTAGGTAGGCAGTGTATAAACGACGCACGTGAAAGAAGAAACCAACATCAAACTTTTTCCTCAAATCAAACAGATAATAGCGAATTGATTGTGATTACTCAACACACAGCTGTAATAACAGCTATGCTTCAATGCAACAATAAACCACCATCACAAATGGGACCACATTTCGGTAGCACTGGCCATAAAACCGCAATTATTCACACGCGGAGGCTAATTAAGCACCCCATCTTCCTCTTAGGGTTAACACGTGGCCCCTCAAGGCAGGTCATTCCAGACATCCCTTCACCTCTAACTTTCATCATCCACTTATGAAGACCACCCGCAGTATACTAGATGGGTCAGGGGTCACCGAGTAAACAGTAGAAATGTGCTGGTTCACATTCTGTACTTGAAGCGCTTTATGTGCAAACTGTCCTTTGTGTCTGTCTGGGCACGCGAATAGAGTCTTTTCTCCCCGAGGCGACTGTCGAACAAAGTCACCGTAGCCACAAAAAACACTGATTCATACACAGTGGTGCGCCAGATTAGGCCAGACTGGGGTGCAAGTGTACTACTCCCATGCTAAATGGGAGCAAAAATGAATGCGTGTTGGACTGCGTCGTAAAATTCAATTAAAGGATGACGTTTACATTATTTTTTAAATTCACTTGTGCAATTAATTAGCATATTTTCCTCTTCTTTTAATAATTTGCGTCTCTAATTTGTAAATTTTTGTTCAGCGTTTATACAAATCTGCTTGCATTCTAACTGAAAAACAAATCCTTCAGCAAGCAAACTCGTTTAAAAGAAAGTTCACCTTCGACGTATGGGAGGTTTGAGTAGCTGTAGGTGTAAGCTTGATACCAAGGTGATCGTTGAAGATCTAGCCCTGCTAAAACAAGTGCCACTTTGGCAATCTTGTTTCCTTCCCGTCCTGGTTACTCTTTCCACAAGTCTTCTGGTGAACTCCAAGCAACCATGAGACAAGGGCAAAGATAAAATGACGAATTTGGATCATAAGCTAAATGCTTCCTGCTTCAGTGGTGACAGTGCGTATCATGGACTTTGTTGGAGTTCCTTAGGTCGCCGCCTCCACAGGGTGGAATGTCTCGTGAAGAGGTGTCATAGTGCAAAAGCCAGAACAACACACCACAATGAATTTACTTCACAGGTTCCTCATCTTAATTTAGAACGTATAGGCCGAATAGAAGTGCTTTAAACGTGGTGCTCATTTTAACAGGGTTTACTTACCGCTACCACCAATATAATGCAGCGCCTAAACTATAAAAACTAACTAACAATTTACAAATAAACGAACTAGACTGTCATTCATTATTGGATAAAAGTAAACTGTCATGATAATCCTTTTTAAATCTTTTTATTCTATGAGCTTTAAATTCAGACAACCTTGGTACCTGATTCGCACTTAAGCCTTTATCAAAATTCCAAAGACCAAATCACATTTTTGGCCCATATATCCTCTAAACAATCATTTTGTTCGCATCAGACTATAATCTGTTATTTTAAAAGCATGAAGATTAGCAAGCATCGAGAATTAGTAGATATGATTTGGCTTAACCCACAACATTTTTAACTACTTGGACCTCAAGTAATGATCAGACACACGCACTCAGGTAAACACGTGGCCATGCATTTGGCTAAAAATTCGCCCTCCTAATTGGTCCATAAAACTGGCTTTGAATATGATTGGTCAATGGCTATTACTTATAAATCTGCGCCGTTTGGACAAGAGGCGCAGTGCACGGTGGGTATGAAATGATGAAAGGAGAGGCGGAGAAGGAGAATGCAATGATTTTGCCAGTCAAAAAGGTTCCCTTTACCAGTCGCAAAAGTCTAACCACTCCCATGAGTAAATTAATACGTCGTCTGAGTGGAATACCCTCGGAAAGCAGTACTCCTGAACCGCTACGAAAGGCGAGACTATCGTTTCAAACCTGGAAACGTCGAAAATCTGTTAGTCAGGAAAGGAAAGAAGAGGCTGATGGTAGGGAGAAGCACGAGCCCGTGGTGCTTCCATCACTGATTGCAAGCACTCCTACGGGTCAGCCATTACTGACCCTGAAAAGAGCTCCCATTGCTGAGACTGAAGAGGTAAATCTACCGGATGTAAAGAAGCCTAGACTTATTGTTACGGCTGCTCGAAGATTATCCGCTTTATCCGCTAGACCTATACGGGGCAACCACCGCCTCCGAAGCAAGAGAGTGACTGATATTTTGTGAGTTAGAGACCGGAGAAGCAAAGGATTGTACATCCACTCCATTCCTGCTATTTCAAGGAACAAATGCGACGAAAGCTGTTTTTCCCCTTTTAGGTCTCCATCCGAAACAATCAATGGGGTTCGCTATTCTAATACCAGTGATTCGAAACGATCGCGCAGTGCACAGCTCGGAGTAAACTACCTGCCTTCAACCGATGCCATCTTTGATGAATATTCTTTTGGAATGAGCATTGAAGACAGCGCTAGTGTGTCTCGTAAAAACGTAGTGTCAGAACTACCCATACAACCAGTGTCGACTAGTGAGTTCAACGGTAACGCTGGAACTTCATCTCCAAGCTTGGGTCTAACTTCACTGTCTCCGGAACCCTTAACTCCTTCCAATTTCCCTAAATCAAAGGAAATGGTTCAAAGAGTTGGAAAGACCCTGTTTAATAAGTGAGTTAGTCAAAGTTCATTTTCCTCCTTTTGCGTCCATCCAAATAGACATTTTCCTTTTTTTCAGGGATCCATATTCGGGTATTGATTACTTGGTAAAACAGGGGATATTATCATTCGAACCGAGAATAATAGCGGAATTCTTGACCAAGGAAGGTCTGAGTAGGCAAGCAATTGGCGAGTACTTCGGCAAACTGTCTGATCCATTGGCGCTTAAAGTGACAGAGGAGTTCGTCAATCATCTAAATCTGCGTCATGTGGAGTTGGATATCGCCTTGCGACGCCTACTAGAAAAGGTACATCCAGACGGTGAATCTCAGAAGATGGAATTCCTCTTAGAGGTACTAAAAAAGTGCTACATTGAACAGAATCAGGAAAAGGTTGAAAGGGAGTTTCACGACCCAGAAACCATTGGAGTTCTTGCTTATTCTATCATGCTCCTTCATACCACCTTCTATAATCGAAGTGCGCGCAAGTACGGCAAACCTATGACGAAGATTGAGTTTATCAACAACAATCGTGGCATTGATAATGGCCGAGATATCTCTGCGAAACGCCTTGAAGCTATCTACGACAGGATTGCAGAGAATGAATTTAGGACTCTGCCTGATCCAATTGACCGTCTCCGAAGGGTCGATAGGCTCTTCACAGGTCCTTTGAAACCGGAGAAACTTGTTCAACGTTATCGTCGATTCATAGCTTGGTTTTCCGCTTTGGAGGTTAATGACTTTACTGCTCGAAAACCGCTCATCTCCCGACCTACCTCACTAATTCGATGCTTCTTTATGTTCAACGATCTTCTGGTAATTACCAAACCACTTGGCATGAACCGTGCTAACGCAGTAGATGACCTCCTTGCTAGTGGAAGTCACCGGTCACGGTCGATTGATCGAATGATTAATAGGGTTGGCAGTCCAGCTCCTTTAACAGTGATAAGTCCTCCGAATACGAACTTTGTTTTAGAAACACCAAGCTGTCAAAAGTGGGGTTCAAGAGCTAATGATATTCAACTGCATTGTTATTATTCTACAGAAGTACCACCCAACGCCCTATTCCTTGTTCGACAGACCATCCCTCTCATCGACATAAAGGTGCTCAACTTTGAATGTGAATGTAAGTTGGAAGAAATTGCTTCCTATGATTAATAGATAGTGCGGCAAAAACCCCAAGGTTTCGTTCCTCTTACATTTCAGATTACAAGTATGGCGTCCAGTTGTGCGATGAGTTCAACGTACTTATCAGCTTCAGTTTGCCATCAAGTCACATTCGTAAAAAAATAATCGATCTTTTGCACAAAGGGATTTGGGAGACGAAAGAGATGATGAATTTCACCACTGGCGAAAGTCGACTACCGCTCATTTCTCCAGAGTCAAATGTATCTACTTCGAGTAACCTGGGCTTTTCTTAATGTAGAGATGCCTTATTTATTTGTCATTATCCTAGCAAGATGAGAATACGCCCATTATTACCTTAGCCGGAGGAATGACATTCATTGCACATAGAGGGAACAGCAACAACAGCTACGGGAGTCCTGCCGGAGACCTGTGTCCTTTTGACATGTATATACGTTTATAGAGTATTTATAAACAGACACATCGTGAAAGAAAGATCTTAGTTGTTTAATGCGTTTTTTCTGCACCATTGGTGGTGTATTTCTGTTTGTTCAAAGTTGGAGTGATGTCGTGACTAGATATCGTCGTATTTAGGATTTGTAATCGGTTAAACCGAATTTAGGCTATTTAATCACATCTGTTTCACTTTTATTATAAAAGCGCATAAAAATAGCTTTGGAGAATGTTCGTTTTTGTGAACACCACGGATGCAGAATTCTCTGTACTTTTCAGTTCTCTTCAACATTGATCCCCTTAAACCCTCAGTTTCGGCAGACGTTATGGGCTTAATGACTTTGACATTCACTAAAATGTTTCCGTGGCTAAAACATTTAGACTTGGGCTAAAACCCCTCTCGCATCTTTGGTCGCGGAATATAAGACACTCTATGAATGATTTAGTGGAGCTAATTGGTTTTTTGAAAGTTTGCCGAGGAACTCAGATTAATGGCCTCTTAAACTTCCACCCAAAACAATCCTTTTGGGAACTCACACAGTGAAAGTGTCAAAATCCTAGGTACCATTGTGACCGCTTCATTCCATCTTGCCTTTTTAATTAAACGGCAGTAGAGTGGAAAACAGTTCGAGTGCATGGAAATCCAAAAGGAAATTCAGGAATGAAATTAAATACTAATCCATGTAGTGAGCCAAAAGTGTCAGTGGTTTCTGCTCCTATGACTTGAAGGCAGGGGATTTTGAAGGGCATAGGGACGTTTATCCGTATGCTTTTTAGAGGTAGAGATGGATCAGGTGCGTCAGTACAGTTCGCTACACTGTATTGCACCCTCTTCTGTTATTTCGAACTTCTCATATCATCGAATGCCGCCAAATGCAGTGGACGTCATTTGAGCTTGTCTACTGTTCTAGGATACGACTTAAACTCGCTTCCAATACTGCAGTAGCTAGCTCCTCCTACAAGACGTTATAGGGCATTTGGAAGGGGAGCGATTTACGGTTGCTGGACACTGCAGCATCCACGATCCAATGGTTTGGAGTTGGCATCTGCTTTTCTTGATAAAATACTCGAGGGTCACTGGGAGATGGATGCATGACGCCGAAGAGGGCAGGCCCCTCTCCTTCGGAACGATGAAGAATGACACGCTGCTATTGTAAGCTTATGAACGTTGGAGACGACTCCATGAAGGACAAATTCTAGGAATGTGGAAGGAGAGCGATAGTTCAGCAGTTCTCTTGCACAAACCCATGTCAAATTACTAGATTTGTTGTTTTTTGATTTCACGGTCGATACAGAAAAGAAAGACGTCGAACACTTGAGTTCCTTTGATTATCTGCCTGTCTGGCTTCTAATAAAGATTAGCCTTGTGTCGTTGTATTTCATGAAACGCGACATTCCCAAGCTATCCCTTCATCTTCCTCATCACCCATGTAAGGCACGGACTACCTTACTCTCAGAGGCTTATGCGCACTTTGTGTCTGGTAAATCGTCAATGCAATGTGGGGATAATTATCAACCTTGTTTGCTTTTTAAAGTTCAATCGACAACTTTATTTGTGCAAACAATTCCCTCATGCCATGGGACACTTTCGATAGCTATCTGACTCACCATAAAATCCTTAGGAACCCTTTTAATTGTCATAAATATCATGCAAAAACGTCAACAGTAAAGTTTATTGGTAATTATTTGGGATCATCTTTGCAAGAAAATCTCAAAATTTTAGTCCATTTGCCTGTGCATTAGTAAGCTAGGTCAAATGATGAAGTAATTGGCAACGCCGCATCACTTCTTGTGGCTCTTGAGCTATTTACATGTTTAGTTGTCTTTTTTGGGATCTTTTCCAAAATTACTTAATGGAACTAATTGTATGGTTTACAATTGCCTTTTTTTGGTCTGAGGGCAGTGGTATAGATATGTTAGCTTAAATTTGACTAAATCCGTTAGGACATTCTATCATAGTGAACCAGAGGGACAAGGGGAAAAGGTAGAAAAATAAGGAGTAGGGGAATTTCAAATTACTGGGGAGACATTATTGTAGCAAGTGATAGGAGTGGTGAAAATAGGCATCAGTAAAAGGGTTAAAGAACACTTTATAGTGGATGAAATTGGGAGGGGGCAATGAACAATTCGGAAAACGACCTACGTGACATGAGTAAAACAATCTGCGTTTCTTCCATTAGCCGACAGAGGGGTGCGAGTGAAGGGAAGCGAACCTTTGGTCCCTCCCTCTCCACTTCACAACTCCACCTCTCCTCTCCCCAGTGAGTGCACAATTTCATCACCAACAGAACTGTGATAGGTTGGAGTAAAACACCATTTAGTTAGCCCGGGTTGAAGGTGCACCCAAAAAGAGTTGAGTTCTGCTAAGTGGTATTGACAATATAAACTGACAAAGGCACTGGCGGTGAATTATTAGTTTACTTGTGTACGAATTTTGGGAGCATTTCACAGTAATGGCTCTGAACCAGTTCTGGGCACTTTTGAGCCTTCTCACTATTACAAAAGCGTACAATTGCCAACCTATGAGGTATTCTTAAAAAGCTATGCTCTAGGTATTTTTGAATATAAGCTTCTTTTTGGCCTTAACCAAATAGTAGTCCAAAAGAAATAAACAAATTGTTTGGTCGTTACTTTACTCGCAAAGAGTTGGTTGAAGGTTTAAAAGAGATTCCCTGCCCTTGCAGGTGACGTACATCTTAAGGATAAATGAGACCTGGGCTGAGAAGAAGTTTGTGGTGGTGCTGGAAGAGAAAAAGGAGTAGTAGTAGTAGTAGTAGTAGTAGTAGTAGTAGTAGTAGTA